GTATTGGCTGTCTAGTTGTTTAACCCCTATTCATCTTAATATACTATTGAAAACGTACGCTCTGAGACTGCAGTGATGCATTTTGGGTCTTTCCAGGTTCAGTGGCTGCTTAATTATAACCCCATATTCGCCTAATATACTGTTGAAAATGTAAACAATCGGAGACTACAGTGATGAATTTTGGGTTTTTTCAGGTTCAGTAGTTGTCTAGTTGTTTAACCCCATATTCATCCTAATATACTGTTGGAAATGTAAACACTCAGTGACTGCAGTGATGCATTTTCGGTCTTTCCTGCTTCAGTGGCTGTTTAATTATTTAACCCCATATTCATCCTAATATTCTTCTGAATACAAACATTCTGAGACTGCAGTGATGCATTTTGGGTTTTTCAAGGTTCAGTGGCTGTTTAATTATTTAATCCCATATTCATTCTAATACTGTTGAAAACGTAAACACTCTGTGACTGCAGTGATGCATTTTGGGTCTTTCCTGCTTCAGTGGCTGCTTAATTATTTAACCCCATATTCGTCCTAATGTACTGTTGAAAATGTAAACAATCGGAGACTGCAGTGATGAATTTTAGGTTTTTTCAGGCTCAGTAGTTGTCTAATTGTTTAACCCCATATTCATCCTAATATACTGTTGGAAATGCAAACACTCTGATACTGTAATGATGCATTTTTCCAGAAGCAGTTGATGTCTAATTATTTAACCCCATATTCATCCTAATAGGCTGCTGAAAATGTAAAGAGTTTGAGACAGTAGTGATGCATTTTGGGTTTTTTCAGGTTCAGTGGCTGTCTAAATATTTAACCCCATATTCATCCTAATATTCTGCTGAAATGTAAACATTCTGAAACTGCAGTAATGAATTTTAGGTTCTTTCCAGGTTCAGTGGCTGTTTAATTATTTAACCCCGTATTTGTTCTAATATACTGTTGAAAATGTAAACATTCTGAGATTGCAGTGATGCATTTTAGGTTTTTCCAGGTTCAGTGGCTGTTTAATTTTTTAACCCATCCTAATATACAGTACTGTTAAAAACATAAACATTGAGACTGGATTTTTGTAAATTCCTTTAAAACAAATACAGATTTTATATTACATATTTTTTAATAGAGGGCGACTCTTCCAGCGTATCCTAGGAGGTCGCGGATATTCAAGGGTCCTCTTAAATAAATGAACATACATGATGCTTTTATCAGCTTATGGAGTGGATTTGTTTATAGTCATTTAACCCATGACCCTGGGATTAGAAGGCAAGCATCCTAACCACTAAGCTACTGTATTCTTCAACTCCACTCCGTATACAGTATCTTGCTCGATATATTACTTTTGTACAGTACTTGCATTGTCCCATGAGACTGAAACAAGGGATAAAACGGCTATTAAAACTTCTTAAAATAAAGAAATACATAGAACAGATACTTAAAACAGTTTTGCTATAAATTTTCTTTCTACAAAATCAAACTAATTATGATATTCATTTCATTTATTTGTGTCCAAAAATAAAAACAGCAAGGAACAACCACAAAAGCACAAAATAACATGAGACAGGACACCCCAAAAGTAAATTTAATCACTGTCGAGTGGAGGACCTTTGACAAAAAAAAACAAACAAAAGCAGACAATACAAAATTCCAAATAGATAAAAGATCAATAAAAAGAGCATAATTTAAAAGGCATTTAAAATATTCATTAAAAAAATTGTCTTAGATATGACAACCTTTATTGCAATTTTCCTCCAGATTCAAATTAAAGTTTATAATACACATTATTAAACATTACACAAAACAGAAATTGTATCAAAAATATAAAACATGATTTATGGAGGTATCATGGTGGAACAAAACAGAAACATCTTAGTAAAAATGTGGTTTTGAGGTGCATTTTTTTTATTGTATCTGAAGTCTGCAAGCCCCATTCATTTATTTATATAATTATTTAATTGATAATTTATACAATGCAAAATTTGCAGTACTTATAAACAATTACATTTAAAATATTTAATATATTCTTGCAAAATGACATTTTTAATCTTTGAAAAATAAATTAGATATATTTAATTATTATTTTAGCCCCATGGTTACCATTTTATCAATGTATGGGTAGATACAATTTATCATCAGTAATTAAAGAAAGCAGGACTTAAAATGTACACATAAAATTACAAGCTGTTACATATTATGGAGTTGTGATACAGAGTGGTCTATGTACTTTACACTGAATACTCAGGTGATACATAGATAAATATTACAGGAAATTATCAGTGGCGGATCCAGGAACATGAAATAGAGGGGGTCCCCAGAGAGAAAGAGACTTTCACAAATGCAAAGTCTATACCACCTCAGCCCCACTATGATTGGGGCTGAGGAAAGAAATTTATGATTCGGAATTGGCCTCTTAATTGAGAACTTTTTTCTCCATTTTTAAAATTTTATTTGGAAAAATTTAGGGGAAACCGGGCGGGCTGGGCCCCTCTTGAATCTGCCATTGATTATACAAGGAATACAAGTAGATGGTAATGTTTTACAATGAATGGTCTTTAGATCCATATAATTGGCAACAGGCACAAGATACAGCTGCAACCTTCACTCACTAAAAAGTACACCTAGACCGAGTGCGGACAGAAGCAAAAATGTAGCGTAAGAGGTTTGAACCCCGACCTCTAAAGGTCCAAATTATTCAATTAAAAAATTTAATATATTGTCAAGCACTAGGTAACTGAATAGACTAGCTTTGTAACCAAAAATAGATGTCTTGAGCTTTGTCTAAAGATAAAAATTGAATATAAAAATAGCAATTAAAAATTCAAAACCAATCACAGCTTTCAGATTTATGTGGCAGTCATTTTTCAAACAGTGGCACATATTAAATAGTGGTGCGTCCTGACTTATACAGTAAAATAATGTAATGATGCGATTAACTGCGAACTCACAAATAATGGAAAAAAGAAAAGAAAAATACAATTCTAACAGCAAGAATATTTATGGTAGGAGTGATGTTTTGACCTATTTGAAGTGTAATCATACCGAATACTTGGTACATTCCCAAATACTTGCGAAAATAGTTGCAAGTGATTCAGGAGGGAATCGAACCCACGACCTCCAGATAACTAGCCTGGTGCCATAGCCACTACCGAGCTTGCGCTTAGTTACTAGTCTTGAATCCAATCCCCAAGTAGCAGTGGGTACGAAATATTCGTGTTAAATAAATTATGTTCCAAAAATACGTCAACTTGACTTTTGTTTTCATTGTCATCACTTT